ATTTGTTTTAAAAACCACTTTTTGAATTTATTTTATTTACATATACAAACTTGATAAAATAAAATAAATTACCAAAACTGTCTAACTAAATCTGAAGTCTATGCTTTTTTTTTAATAAGATTTCAATACTATTTTTTATAAAATTAAAAACACTGAAATTAAAAGCTTTGTCAAATGTGTCACCTTCATATTCCACTGCAATGTTTGTGTAATTACATTTTTATACTCATATTTTGAATTTCTCCTATAATTTTTGTTTTTATTTCTTTGACACTTAATTTTAATAAATCACTTGAAACATAGCATCTTTTTCATTTACTGGACGTTTATGATTGATGCTCATGTTCTCCATTCTTGTGAAAACCTACCATGATAATCTACCGCCTGTCCTATAAGTCTATCTACTGTAAACACAATGCTTGAGTTGCATGGTTCTCTTCAAGGTTCCAAAATTTGTGCTTGAATATATTTCACACATCCAAGGGATAAAGAAAAAATGCCATAGTTTCACACCAGACCCATAACCGTATGCGGCACCTTATTAGTCCTCAAGCAGAATTTCATACATTAATGTGCCTCAAATGCTGGTGTTGTGAATCTCTGTGATAATACTTCATTTCATCTGCCACGATTTTAACCTCCAATCATGTTGCAGCAAAGTCCCACTTATAAAGAAGACCAGCGCAACATCAGACAAGCCATAGCTCACCTTGAAACAATTAAAAATCTTCATCTGTGATCATCAAAAGTGTCCTTCAACGAGAATAGAAATCCTCAATGACACATGATATTCATTGAATTGGGTAGAGTCTGACTCATCTCATCTCATCTCTGAACAATCCAGTCAGTTCTGTGCATTCTACGCCTGCATAAGAAGATATGCTAGAAGAATTGCTAAGCTGCAGTCAGTTGTCACTGACTTCATCTTTGGAAACTTGATTGTCTTTGACAGGAAAAACTGTTGCACAGTTGAGTATATTTTCTCGTAAGGGCCTTTTTAGGAGTCCGTATGTGGCAAGAGTAGAACGTTAATTCTCGTACATTTGAACCCTGTCAGATTGCCTATCCGGGGCGGATTTCGCAGTATGACTTGACTAATGAGATTTGAAGGACACTTTTGGTTGCAATGGGTTTGATGCGTTCTTACAAGTATGGTAGACTACTGTGATGAAGGAAGTTTAAGAATTATTGTCAGAGTGTGTGCGTTGAAGGAACATTAATTCGGCTGTTGATTTCGACGAGCCAAAGTCTCCAGTCCACCATGATGCTGAATTGTTGCTGTTTCTTCAAGATCTCGTAGCTGAAGTGCAGTATGTGGACTAGTTCTGTGCTGGCCAGAAACTGAGGGCTTATGTTACTCCTTGCTTTTGTGGAGGTTCCATCTTGTTAAGCCAACTTGGTTTGCTGAATGGACCTGCAAGAAACGTTTACTGGCGAATGGAACATCAAACTGGTGTGAGGTAGCGCGGTTGTGGATGATTCTGAAGGCAGACAGACACTCGCAGAACCATTCAAAGTAAACCCAGTTGCAAGACATATTGCGAACTGCGGAAAAAATGATGGGCATTTCTGAGCGATCACGTTGCTTAGATGCAGATTCACATGCCATGACGTTTGCCCAGAGTGATACCAGTTTAATTGGGGCAACTGGTGCACTCAGCTTATACAAACATTAACCATGTCATACAAGGTTTCACTGTCCACGAGAGTACACTAACCAACAACCTTTGCTATTTTCAGAGTATCCAGTACTAGCTGCTCTAAGTGCAAATGAAATATTATGCAGAACCTGCGAATTGATTGAGACCCAGCACCCACAAGGAAGGCGAGGAAAGGGAATCGATAAAGATCTACAGCCGTAGGGGAGTAGATGAGACGCGATTGACAAAGGACTTGCACCTACTGCGGATTAAATTAAAGACCGTAACAGAGACCCTTCACAAGCTGAGAATTTAACACGTCGATTATGGACATGGAGAGAGCAACAGCATATTTTAAAAGAAATTTTAACATCGGGCTCATGCTGCTTCAGTAGCTACTGAAAGAAGATTTTACATTCACAATATTGACCGATGTCAACCACTAACAAAAGCTTCTACAACCTGCATGCTCAAGATATTTTTACACACAGGAAACGATGTTCAACAGGTCAATCATGATTCGGCAACAAGCTTGAAAAACTACTTCATAACTCAGCTCAATATGACAATAACTTGAGTTTTCATGCATTCTCTCTGTACTCTTCAACATTGTTGAAACCCGTGTCAAGTCTTCCTACATGCTCCACAAGAAGTAAGAAGAAATTAAGTTATCCCAATTTCTTCGAAAGGGGTGGATTATGTCTGTCGTAAACTCTTGTGAGTCATAAAGGGTAGTGCGGTGTAGTTTTCTGAACAGACACGTCGCACGAACGGACAGAAGAATGTTTCCTACCATTGCTTATATACAGAGCTCTATTTCGTGCTTTAGTACTCTTCTTCATGAGCAACTCACAAGTGACTTGGTGCTGTAAACGCTACAATTTGAATAGAAGAATCTGAGTATACAGTCTGAGTAGACAGAAAAGGAGGACACGAAGTTGGAGGAATGTCATATAATACAAAGCTAAGCACCTACTGACACAATTACAGGACTACTATGTGCATGAGCGTGTACTGCAGTGATGAAAATGGACCATCGTCCACCTGATTAAAATGAAGTAGGAAAGGATGCATTGGAGATGATACCAAAAGCCATGTACAGCTGAAACAAAGGAAGTCGAGCACATAAATAGTCTACGACATGAAACATGCGGCGAATGATCACGCAACTACTTAATTGACAAGCGGATCTTCATGTCTTCGTACACAAGATAGGTGATACTGGCAGACGGCACCGCTTTCAGCATGTTCGGCAACCAACCCTTGTAGAAACCACGTATGCCTTCATTTCGATAAGTACGTCGAAAAGCATCCGCCATACCTGTATACCTCACAGCTGACTTGAGAGTTTGTGCCTGCAATCTGCATACCAAAAAAAGCTCAATTGAAGATGGATGATTCATGATAACAAACTTCATTGGTAACACCTATAAGTTCGGCAACGTACCTGGTACGAATAAGTTGTAGAGGATATACGCACGTAGCTCCCAAAGCTCCAGAAAAAGTGCCACAACATAGGTGTAAAATCGGTCCTGGTTCTGCAATCGAAGTGACATTACTACCAGCCGCAGTTCAAATTAAAGATATTTACAAAATTTGCCAAAAATTTCATTCACGGTTACAGGTGCCCAGCCCTTCAACCAGAATGATGCGCATGGAGTACTAAACATAACTCAGCTCATGAGCAATAGAATCATTGAAAAATTAATTGCTTCTACACTTGCTCTCCCTAGCCTAGATGACGTCTTGATTGGATTTCATCTGAAGAATAATCAACAAAACCAGGTTTTGATTCACAGTCCATAGAGTGGAAACACCCTGAAACGTTGGTAAGTACACAAGAAAGAATCAAAACACCTAACAACTGGTTTGCTATTGGCTTATTGCAAGCCAAAATAAAGTGCTTCACATAGAGAAGCTTATTTTACACAGACAACAACGAAACTTGTTATACTTGAAAGTGCTCACTAATCTTGTAAATAAGAAAAATACTATAGCTGACACATCATTAGAAAGCTGTAAGGCACTTCGCAATCGTGTTAGACACACAATAAACACGCACAGAACCCAATATCATCCAGGATTCATATTCAACAGCTGACCAAACTGACTAAGATAATGGTAATGCCAGACTTGTCATTAGATTAACACCATGTGAAATGTTATTGCTCTCGTTACCAAATATTCCTAAAATGCCAGGTTTGCAAAGCACAATATAACCACGAGTATTGAGGTGGATCACTAGTGAGAAATGTCAAAAAGAGCAGTGATCCACATTTATCTCAATATTGATAGGAGGGAATAAGTTTTCAGCGCAGATGTATCACATACCGGTTTCCGGTGGGAGGAGATGTCGGGACTTAAGTTTTAGAGTTTCGTAAGTGGCCAAGTCGATGCCAGCGTAAGGGATTATACCCAGAAGAGATGGTAAAAGGCCCCTGTAAAAAGCTCTAGGACCTTCTTGAACCAGAATGTCACGCGTAAACTTCACTAACTGTGGCGCTCTTCCAGGCTCATTGTGACACTGCAGACGCGTCTTCAACAAGTCAACAGGGTAGATGATCGTTTGCGCAATTGCACCTGAACGAGCAGTAATCAATTACCATCTTGAAACTAGAATGGCATGCAAATAAAATCATAAAACAGAAGTGACTGAGAAATCACTGAGCATCTCTGACATCCCTAGACATGTGCAATAACAAGTCATAGACTACCCACCTGCAGTACCCCCCGAAACTAACCGACCCAAAGTTCCAATCTCTCCATCCTTTCCATCACCAACAACTACACGTTTCATGATTTCATAAGCATAAAATTTTATTGCAGACTCTGGGGCCACTTTAAAAACGTTGAGTGCATTGCCACGGAAGAAACCAATTGCACCATTGTGTTTATGTATTTGCACTAATCCATTCATGATACTCGAGGTGCTGCTGTGGGTTTGAATCGCCAGCAGCACCTTCAACCGATCTAGAGGAGCTGTTGCTGTGCGACTAACTGCACCCGCCATAGCACCCGCCGCCAGGTACCGCAGCCTATGATGCTCGCCAATGCCCTCCGGGATGACGGCTTGCTCTCCAATATCCACTAAGCAAATTTTTTCCCAGTATTGGTAGATGTTAGGCAATGTCGTCTCACGCGGGTACAGCAATAAAAAATCCCGCCACTCATTAAATGTGATCTTCCCGTTCTTATCCCGGTCGATGTATTGGACGAATGCATCTAGCTCGTGATCTTCCAATTGAACCCCTGCACTCAAACCAGCATTAGAATGATGAATGGATTTACCACATTCCATGGTCATTCAAGACGCACCCGAAACCATGTTTTCTCAACAATCATCGCCCGCCACTCAAAAATAAAACGCCCCTGATAAAAACAAATAAATAACAAGTAAATAACAGCGACCGCCAGAACCTAAACCTGAATTTCGAAGAGCCAACTGCAGCTCCTCGGGTTGGAGTGCCCCATCATGCGATACATCAATAGCCTGAAAAAGTTTAAACAGCTCAACCTCCTTATCATTCATGTACCGCTGAAACTCCGCAAAATCTATGTGTCCATCGTGATTAGAATCGCACGCTTCAAGCAACTCCAACGCATACTTCCGCTGGAACGGAAAGGACAAAGACTGCAGCCCAGATTCTATCTGCTTGCTTTCTAGATACCCGCACTTCCTGCTATCTAATGAATTGAACAACTTTCGAACGCGCAGCTCCCTCTCCTCCTCGCTCTCCAAGTCAAACCCTCGGGATTTTGCAGCCTTCTTCATGTCTCCAAATCCAAACCCTGCATCCATCCGAGTAGGAGTCGCCATCTCACGAGCTCTAATCACATACCCACAACGACATTACTAATGAATATTACATTTCCAACCCAGACCGTAAACGCAGATCAATAGCCTCCCTTCTCCGCAACAGAATTAATTCTCCCATCCTTGATAACAGGCAGACAAAACTCCTGACTGAACCTCTGCCTCTCTCACAACCACCACCACCACCACAACCACCACGCTGTTCCCACGCTGAGTAAAACCTTGAACAAACTGTGCAATCTTCCTCCCGGATTCTGGTTACAGTACCGATCGCTGCGTCGGGAGAGATGGGTAATCTTCGCAGCATTAACTTGCACAGGATTGAGCGAGCTGACAAATTCGGGACACCGTCGAGCAACCTCGCGAACACAGGATTGTCCCACTGCACCATTGAACCCATTGCGCCACGTGTCATGTGAGATCCAGCTTCCATTGACTACCCCTTTCCGGTTGGAAGCAGGACAACCTGTATTTCAAAAAAAGGTGTAAATTGGAATCTCCTGGCTCTCCCGCACGGATAATCCACTTACTGAGTAAATCATTCATAGCGGCATCTGGGTCCATTAGGCTAAGACCACCCTTAAGTTTCTTTCGCATATACAGATGCCATGCAACCCTCGTTTGTGCTTTGTTTTCATGACCTGCCCACAAATAGTTCCTAAGGAGGGCTTTAGTTTCATAACTTTCTTAGAGCCAGCCCAAACTCCTATTAAATACCAAAGTGTCCACATCAATACTTGGTTAACTATAAGTCTTTTGCCAGCCAAGGATAGCTTGATGGTAGTCCAATATGCCAATTTCTTCTTAATTCTTCAAATTAAAAACTCATCAATATCTGGTGTGGAGATTGCTAATCCAAAGGATGTGCCAAGAAGTTTAGCATTATTTCCTTCTTTTACCCATACTCCGTTATATTCATGTATCCATGTAAGAGGGGGGCCTCTTTTGTATATCCAATATATACTAGATTTGACCCAATTAATGAATAGCCCTGAAGTATTGCTGAATGTGTCAAGTATCCTTACTAATTCGGCTACCAAAGACCTTTTAACTTTGACCATGAAGAAGATATCATTTGCATATTGGAGGATAAGTTACTGAGCTATAGATTATGAAAGTTTGACTCTTTTTATCTCTCCTTAACCTTGTGCTAGCTTAATACAAGTATTAAGAGCCTCACCCTCTATCAAAAATAAATATAGAGCTATTGAGAATCCTTGACGTATCTTGCACCTTACAGAGAAGAGAAAAGTGGCTTATTCATTAATATCAATTATAGCTTCAGCTCCAATAAGAATAAAAGAAACCATATTCATGAATTTCTGAAAAAAAACCTAGTTTGGCCATAGTATTAAATAAGAATTGCCAATTCACTCTATTATATGCCTTTGAAAAATCCAATTTCAAAAAGATAGAATTTTGTTTCAACTTCTTAATCCATGCCAAAGCCTTATATTAAAGTTTGAAGAGTATGTTATCTAAAATGAATTGATTTGGAATGAAGGTGCTTTGGTCGTAATTGATAACATCTCAAAGATGATCTTGAAGCGTGCATTATAATACTTTTGTATGAATTTTATATATCACATTGATTAGTATAATAGGCTCTCAATTTACAAGTAGATCTTTGTTATCTCCTTTTAAAATTAATGTGATGAATTTTCTTATAACATATTTTGGAAATGATCCTCTACAAAGAAATGTGGCATCCATTTGTGCATAATTAGATCCTAGCACCTCCCAATATTTGAGAGAAAATTGAAGGGCTATGCTATTTGATCCTAGGACTTTATCCAAAGCCATTATATATATTATTATATGGAATTCTTCTTCCATTGTCATGTTGTAATATGGCCATTAGATATAACGAACATATATATTTATTCTAATAATTACATATATGATTAAATAAAAATAAGTAAAAATAGATTAATTTTATAATATTTTTGAGAGAAGCTTTATAGATGCTATTTTGACTTTATACATATTTATAGTTAATTGATAGGTTAAAAACTTTTGCAACAACTTAGCCACATATCACATGTATTAGTAGCTTGTGGAATAAGCTAATTATGTAGCACACATATAGAAAACTTGCCTTATAAGTTAAAACATGTGTTTAGCAAAGTCAACACATGTTGGATGTCCTATAGAATATTGCCACATAGCTCTTATTTAGATAGTATATATGGACGCAAGAGTGAAGCCTTCTTCACTCTTGTCAGTACCTTTCTAGTCCTTAGTCTTGCTTCAAGACTTTCTAGTCTTTTTAATCTTGACAATAGCCATTTTAGTTCAATATTATATTATCTTTGAGTGATTATGTAGCCTTTTTGAGTAATACAAGAGTGTCTTGATCTTTCAATTCTTCAAGATTCATATCCTTGATATTATATATATATATATACATATTATAAAAGAACTAAAATGAAAATATTTTAATAAATTATTTTAGAAATATAGATAATAAATACAATGGCAATAAAATTATTAAATATTAATATAACCATCTTATAAAAGAGATTATTGCTTATTTTGTAAGGACATAAAGAAGGCAAAATAAAGCAGATTAAGAAAATAATTTATTTAGGCATCTTTAGGGGGTAATTAAAAATAGGTTTTTTCCAGGACAAGAACTCGATGAAAAAATAATTCAGACAAGTGAGCCTTTACTCAAAGAGAGGTAACAAAATATATATAAACAAGTATATATATTGAAAGAGAAACTGGAATGGCTATTGCCAAAAGACAAGAAAACTAGAGATCCTTGAAACTAGACTAAAAGCAAGAAAGGAGTTGACAAGAGTGAAGAAGCCTTCACTCTTGTCTCTATATATACTATCTAACTAGAGGCTATGTGGCGACGTTCTATAGGACCTCCAATATGTGTTGAATTTGTAGCGCACATGCCTTGACTTACAAGGCAAGTTTTTCTACGTGTGGGCCACATAATTAGCTTGATCTTCAAGCTAACAACATGTGTGGCACATGGCCAACTTGTTGACCACGTTTTTAATCCAAAAAGTTAATTAAAGACACCTATGAAGTCAAAGCAGCATCTAGGAAGTTTCTAGGAAGCTTTCATATTAAATATTATAGAATTAACTTACTTTTACCTACTTTTACTTACTTCTACTTATTTCTATATGTAATTGTTAGCTTATATGATTATGGCCGTGACATTACCCCCCCTTCTAGGGACGAGTTCCACGAGGAGCGGTCATCATATGTTGAGAAAATCTATGATGCGACGAATTGTATTCGCCACATACTCTAATCTCTGTTCTCTTCGAAGATGATTGATAGGGCCTCTCAACCATCGGTAGTATCCCATACCACGGCGGGGAGACTACCCAGTTATTTGATCATTGTTGAGGCCTTCGTAACTTCCTTCGAATAGAATATTTCAAATACCATCAAGAGTTGTTCCTACCTCTAGCAAAATCACCAAACATCGGGAGTCCCTTCCCAAATCGTGATACCAAATGCGTTGTATCTCACCATCTATTCGAGGAAGAACATGTCGTTCTTGAAGATCTTCATCTCGATTGCGTCATCTTGAAGGTTGTGACAATCGTAATGTCTCATCCGACAGGTCAGCAAATGAAGGCTCTTGAGTTGAATCCGCTGGTTGTTAGTTCTCCATCTCCTGAGCGCCACTATTACAACGAAGCTACGAACAAGAATTGAAAGTAGAATGTTATCTTGCCTAAATGTTGTTTCTTTTATAAAGAAGGTTTTCATCTTGATTTTGATGGATGTCGTTAATGAAAAGCCTCCACCGCCTTTGCTGTATTTGCAAGATTCTTTATTGGCTCTCATGTGCGTTCACTAATACCATATCTGTGCCAATGGACAAGATATTCAACTTTATTTTGGCGTCGCCTTGAATCAAAGACTTCTTCTACTTCAAACTCTTCATTATTGTCCACTTCTACAGGAGGAGGAGGAGCTTCTTGACTTCTTGGTATGTCCACTGTCTTGTATAGTTCAAGAAGAGACACGTGAAATACTGGATGGATTTTCATTGACTCCGGTAGATGTAAACGATATGCAACTGGATTGATTTGTGCAGAAATAGAAAATGATTCTAGCCTTCGATAGTCCAACTTGTCACAAGGACGAGTGGTCTTGATATTGCAATGAAATAGCCATACCTTATCACCCAAGATGAATGATGGTTGTTCCTTTCGATAGACATCCGCATTGGCCTTTTGTTGTTCTTGAGCCTCTTTTAATTGCGCCTTCATCATTGCATGTAGCTCTGATAAATGAATTGCCAAATCTTTCGCAGCAGGATTATCAACTTTTGAAAAGTCAAAAGTATCAAGTCGTGGATGATAACCATAATTGGCAAAGAAAGGTGTTGGTTTTCTGGAAGAATGTACCATGTTATTGTAAGCAAACTCTGCCAATGGCAAAAGAGTTGTCCAATCATCTTATTGGTAATTAATCGTACATCTTAAATATTGCTCCAAAACTTAATTAACACGCTCCGTTTGTCCATCAGTTTGAAGATGGAATACTGAAGATAGTTTTATATCCAATTTTAGAATCTTGAAAAGAGTCCGCCAAAATCTTGATACAAATTGAGTTTCCCTATCTGATATAATATCCTTGGGTAATCCATGATAGCGATAGATATTGTCAAGAAAGAGCTTAGCTGTTTCTTCACCTGTGATAGATTTTGTACATGGTACAAAATGTGCCATCTTGGTAAAACAATCTACTATCACGAATATAGACTCATAAGAACCTGAGATTGGAAGATCCGTGATGAAGTCCATAGAAACAGAAGACCATGTTTTGTTCTGGAATGGGTAATGGTTGAAGAAGTCCAAAAGGTCGATGACGAGGAGTTTTTGATCTTGAGCAAACATCACATGATTCTACAAAATCTTTAACTGCCTTCCACATCTGAGGCCACCAAAAATCCCAAGATATAAGCTCCAAAGTCTTATTATATCCGAAATGTCCTGTTGTTGGGAAGTCGTAACGAGCTTGATGAACACATAAATGTGTTTCTCCTTTTGGAACATATTGTCACGGACACAAAATATAGACTTGAAATCTAACAAGAAGTTCAAGAAGAAGTGGCAGAACTAGATTAAACAGATGAGTACAAGAACAACACCAGAAAGGTGAGCTAGAACTCCAAGAGATGTGTTGTCGAGACTGAAGAACCCTTCAGCCTCGACTCCTATATATACTACTGAATAGGAAGCTTCTCGAGCTACTTCCGCTAACTAGGACGCTTCTCCAACAACTACTACTAATTAGGAAACTTCTTGAGCAACTTCCTAGAATCTATCAGAATATTCTAGAACCTTCTAAGAGAATCTTTAAGGAATATTCTAAGAATCTTCTAGAACCTTCTAAAGGAATCTTTAGAGAATCTTTAGAGAATATTCTAGAAGAATATTTGAAGAATCTTCTAATGTATGTCCATGACATCACCTCCT